TGCACATTCCACATTTTCCTAGTTTCCAACAGACCTCACAACCTCTGAGGATGCCTGCCATAGATGCAGTCGAAATGTCAGGAGATAATGCTTCTGGAACATGGCCAGCCATGAAAGCCTTTGACAATACATGTTTGAATAATCTTGTCTGTTCCTGCAAGCAGTGGGTTGGACTGGATGGTCCTTGTAGTCTCTTTCAACTCTTATGGTCTTGGTGGAATAACTTTAGCTATACTATAGAAGCAAAACCATTTAATAACACATTTAAGCCATACAGATCCCAGGTCATGTAATTCTGACAGTTTTATTGGAACTCTACCATGGCAAAGGCTGGCATTGTTGCAGCTCTTCCATAATATTCATAGCATGGCTTATTAACTGAGAACAATGGCACAATCTCATAGTTTCCCCTTGAATTAAAGAAAAGTTATTTCACATAAGTCTAGACTCAAGAACATAAATGGCAACTGATTTATGCTTCTGCCACTGTTTTGAACAAACTACTGCTTAGACAGCAGCAGCTAAGTGTAATAAATTGGAGGAAGAAACTAGTACACAAAGCATTTCCATAACAGTAGTCCCTTTGAATGCAATCCTCTTTAGTATGAGTGCATTTCCAAGGTGGAACTTCAGTCTGTGTCAATTTATTTCATATGTTTTATTTACATTTAGATGTTGTTATAATTTGTTCTTATATGTTGAGTTTCGTACATGAATTGAAATGGCTGCACATATTTCTTCCCCCTGGAAGCAGCCCAGGGTGGAAGAATGCTATGCAAGAGCCATAAGAGCATTTGGAAATTATTACAAATGAGAGTATTATATATCCAGACTCTCAAGGATACCTCACATTGGCCAGAGGTAGATAGAAGGAAGTCTACAGAAATGGCATAAAAGCTATTTGCAGAAATCTAAATAACATGACATTTCTGTGATGGGGACACTGCTTCCTGAATGCTTGGTGCATCATTAAACCTCTATAAACTATATGTCCAATGTCTTTGAACTGTACTTACTTGCTGAAGTGTAACCTGTTACTTCCTTTTGCCCCAAAAAATCGATGCATCTCCATGCACAGTATGCTCTTGCCTTCTCACAACAAAAGGCACCAGCACTATGTGGCAGAGAAGGCTAAAAACCTTGTGAAACAACTCAGGTAATTCCATAACATTGAGCCATGGTAGTTAAAATCAGCTAAACAACATTAATTCTGCAGTGCAGATTCATCTTTAGTTGTAAGCAGCTAATAACACTTTAAAGCTGGAAGAGAGAGCAAGTGATTCATCTTCGCTCTAGCAACTGCATAAGGAGAAGGGAAAGGTAGAAGGGGTAGTAAATAGCACAAAGGCCAGAATGGCTATCATGTTCTTCAGAGATTATTTACACAACTTGTTTTGCTAATGTACAATTTCACAAAAATATTGCAGGAGAGACAGCTGAGAGAAGAGGAGAATAGCTCCCATTCAAGAGCAGTCTCTGAAATGGCTTCAGAAAGAGAAAGAGAACGGAAACTAGAGATGGAGCTCACCTACTTGAAGGCATCACTACAGGATGAAAAGCAGAAAATCCGTAAAGCACAGGATAAGGTTATCACATATTCTTATCCTTTAATCAATTGCACTGGTAGACTGTAGGATAAAAGGTAAATGTAAAGGTTGTCCCCTGACATTAAGTCCAGTCATGTCTGACTCTGGGGTGTGGTGCTCATCTCCATTTCTAAGCCAAAGAGCCAGCGTTGTCCATAGACACCTCCAAGGTCATGTGGCCAGCATGACCGCATGGAGCGCCGTTACCTTCCCGCCGGAGCGGTACCTATTGATCTACTCACATTTGCATGTTTCCGAACTGCTAGGTTGGCAGAAGCTAGGGCTGACAGCGGAAGCTCCCGCCGCTCCCTGGAATCGAACCTGCGACCTTTTGGTCAACAAGCTCAGCAGCTCAGTGCTTTAACCCACTGCACCACGGGGGGCCCCAGAGTGTAGGATACATTATGGATTTTTGCAAATTCCTAAAATAGTGCTATTTCTTATTTAATTTTTTTTAATTACCGTGCAAGGATTGGGCAGCTGCATTATGGCAGAGTACCAGGGCCTCACTGCTTGGTTGGAGACCATTCTCAGGACAGCTCATTTGCTCACATCATTGATTTGATTCTACAAGGGCGGTTCTGATCATTTCCCTCCCACATGTTCTTGGTGTTTTCTCCAGTTATATCCTGGTTCATCTCCCAAAGATGTTCTCTGACTGTCTTCCCTCTGCCTTTTTTTGGACTGTTTCAGATATTTCCCTAATGAAATATTATGGACACTGACAGGAGCTCCCCCCCCCCCCCCCCCCCCCCCCCGCATCATGGGATGGGCTCCATTAAGCATCATTCCCTCAATGAATTCTAATTGTTCAGAAATCGGGGGCAGGGGAGCATGGAATAAAGTCCTTTTTTATGGTTCGCTTTACACAAGCTTTGTTTCATGCACATATTTATTGAAAATACTGTATACAATTAAATGTATATGAAGTGTGCATGAAACAAAAAAAAATGCTGTGTTTAGACTCAGCCTCATCTCCAAGCTATTCTATTATGTTAAAATATGCAAATACAGGTATTCCAAAATCTAATATAAACTAATAAATTTAAAACCCTTCTAGTCCTATGCATTTCAGATAAGGGATAATCAGCTTGCACCATGCTAAATAAAATGTCTTCTTCTGGTGACATTGCAGTTTACACTTTTCAGCTGCTCAGTTACTCTAGTCATTACCAACAACTGCAGTCAATATATTGTACTTGTTTTTCTATGGAAAAAATGCTTCCCAGTCTTCAAAAAAGACACCAATGGTTTTTTCTGATTAAGTCTGCTACATCCAAAAGTCTTAGGGCCTTTCCACACAGCCATTTAACTCAGAATATCAAGGCAGAAAATCCCACAATATCTGCTTTGAACTGGGTTATCTGAGTCCACACTGCCAAATATTCTAGTTCAAAGAAAAAAAATGTGGGATTTTATTCATCTGTGTGGAAGGGGGCTTAGTAGACAGACTTTGCCCATCAATACTCTCTTACTTCTAAGCATACAACAGTCCTGTTGCTGTGGTCATGTACCATAGGAATTTGCCATCTTCCCCCTCCCCAAATAACAACAACCTGTCCTTGATTTATACACAAGGTCAACTTATACAAGAGTAGATCTGGTAATGTAAATTTCCTTTGTTTTGACTAACATGCCTCCCAATGTTATAACTGTTACAATAGTTATAACACAAGTTTTGTGTCCGCTTGTTCTGATGCCATTGTATTTTGGCAAAGGTTTATACATTAGAATGCAATTTTCCTGCTTCTTGGCAAGGGGTTGGACCAGATGGCCCATGAGGTCTTTTCCAACTCCATGATTCTATCTTATCTGACAGGTGTTTATCATCCTAAACAAACAATACTTCAAATACTTATTTCTACAATTCAAAACTATAAATTTTTGTTCACTTTAACGCTTTCAAATATTGAAAGTATGAATACCACTGGAAATGAGGCTCCTCTGTCAGTAGTTCTTCATCTCACTTAGCCCAATTTTGTTCTTGACCAAATTCTACGATATCTTGAAATGTCACCATATTTCTTTTATCACTATTTCTTTTTTATAAAATGCTTCCTATGCATAACCTTTTTTAAAAAGCATGTCCACTGCTTTGGTAGTAAAAAAATGCCTCACTAATTAAAGACATTGGTATTAGGTCCTTCATCTGCAGCAAGAAAGGAGGTCTGTGGATCAAAATGGACAGTTGCTTCAGGCACAACTAACAAATTTAGAAGGAAGACACGCTGCAATTCAACTGGAAAATTCTAAGCTACACACAGAAAAAACTGCCTTGGTAGAACATATCTCTTATTTACATGAACAGGTACCTATTTACTTTTCAATCAGCATCTGCATTTCCCTAAGTTTATCAATGCACATCTAGTTTTCCATTCAGGAAGTGGATTTCATGTGTGAAACTAGGTATTTGGAACATACAAATAAGATATGATGATGGCTGCATACAGGCAAAACTAGCCACGTGAAATGTGAGATTCTAATTTAAAGTGGCACTAGCCATGTATAGTGGGATTGAGATTGTGATGCACAGGAAGTAGTGTTTTCATTTATGGCATCTATAGAGCTGTGGTGTCATGCAATAAAGCCCCTATTTCTAATGAAATGTAACTGCTAAACTGAAGATACTCCCACAACAAGAGCCCCAGATATACTAACCCAGTTTTGTTTCATTTAACTTGGTGAGAACAAGATGTGAAAATAATTCAGTACTGATATGTTTGTTAAGTCGAGCCCTAATCTGCCTCCTTCACACAGAAAAACACTTTTGAAATTGCTTCAAGTCAGAAGCAAAAGGGGGAAAATATTGCAGTAGACAAATATCTCCAAGTGATTCAGAGTCCAGAGAGAAGTTTCACAGAGCAGCTAGGCACATGAAGTTTTACTACAGCAAAGCTATTTGTAGTGTTTTGTAAAGTAAAGACTGCATAGAATGCTTCTTCACTGATGGGATACTTCTCTGGCAATTACAGGGGTGGGTTGTTGAAGTCCAAATCCCCATTAGGGTGAAATCTACACAATAGAATTAATATAGTTTGTTACCACTTTTAATTGCCATGGCTCAATGAATTTGTACTTTGGTGAGGCACTAGCACTCTTTGGCAGAAAAAGCTAGACACCTTGTAAAACATCAACTTCCTTGATTCCATAGCATTGAGCCACGGCAATTAAAATGGTGCCAAACCACATTAGTTCTGCAGTGTAGATTCACGCTCAGCTTTTCAGCTGACAGATGTGCTCCCTCTATTATACATATATATCCCCAAGCCTGAGAAGCTAAAAGCTCATGGAAAAATAAAGTATTCAAATGCATAATTTTAGCCAGTTGACAATATCTGCCCTGTTTTTATTGTATTCTGCAACTACTACTGTAATTAAACGCCTGGAGGGGAGGGAACCATACTTGTGAGCAAAAGCAAAGTGTTGATATTCATATCAAGAACAAATGTATTGTCGCATTATGCTCATGTGAGATTGAGTCCATATTTCAGATGTATACAGTTTATTAACATGTTCCTTTAGCATTTGAAAGCTTCTGCCACAATAAGCCCAAGTATTTCAGATACTAATTCCTCTTTGGATTAGATGTTTGGGGGATGTCTTCTGGAAAAGAAGCTTTTGTAGGTCTTGCATGGAGCCAGTAATTATTGCTGTCTTCTGCTATGAGTATTAATGCTTACTTACTTATGAACAGTAAATTATTATGCTGGGCACTCAATCTCCATACCCTGCAGCACACATTAAGATTTTACCAGGCATAACTCACAAACATTCAATTTTATTGCTGCAGTTGAAAGCACGTTCTCCTTTAAAGAAACAATGTGACTACTATGAAGCCTTCACCATATTTCCTTTTGTAATCTTATTCATCAGAACCACTGTTATCATCTCTTGAAGAGAACTATTTTATAATGTGGACAGTTGTCACAAACAGTTTTACATATACCATATTTATATACAGTCAGCCAAATAGGAAGACTCTTTTTATTTCCTTTGTAACAGTTTTATTGCAGTATTTAGAATTAACACACCTTTTTCAATTCCCCAGATCGCTGAAAAGGAAAAGGACATGAATTTTCTGCAAAGCCAAGTTAACAGTTTGTCCAGTGACCTCAACCATTTGAAGTCACGAGTTGATGTGGCATCTGTATTGCAGAAAGAAAATGGAAAGAGTCCTTCCCATGTTTCAACAGCAAAACATGCATCGATGAACTAACCTCAAGAAGTAGTTGTCTATCTGCTCACCTGCTATAAGAACATCTCTTTTCAAATGTTTCCTCAAACAAATAAATTACATTTTGTTCATTATAGACTTCCTCTGGGTCTTAGAGCTAGGACTACATCATAAAAAGCTCGTATCACAAGATAAGTTAAAAGGAAGGTCTTTGTTGCAGGAAATCTCCTTTAAAAAAGAAGAGAGGCACTGATGTATCCTGAGCTTATCAGAGGCTGACGTTTAAGCCCTTTAGGTTGTACATGAACAAATATTTATCAAATGAAATATCACGTTTAGTCAGCATACATTAAAGAATGGGGTTTGCATGGCATCCTAAGTGACATCAAAAAAACTTTCCAAAACCATAGTCACATTAATACTCCCACTTTCTAGAATTTGTAAGCAAGGTGAAACTATTGAAAACTTAGTGGCAGTTTGAATTCTTTTAAAAAATATTGTCTTAGAAAAGAATGCCCCCCAAAGGAAAAGACAATTGTTGCCAGTAATTTATAGCAAATTCAAAGTTTCCCATTTGCCAAGCATTTGATACAGGGCATTGCTACAGCAGCACAGAGAGAAGGGAAACGTGGAAGACATATTTTGGCCACATTTTTTTTCAAAAGATGATTCACTAGTTCTCTTTTTGACAAGAGGCGAAAGTTGGGTAGTGGTATTTACAGTAGTACTTAGTGGCCATTAGTTTATTCATTATGTCTTCTAATGGACAAATACAAATACGATTTCATAGTGCATTGCACAATCACGTAACTTTAAAACATAAATTTGGGAAGTTGTGTAGGCTAACTTTAAACATGCTCAGGTTTCCCAAGTGGGCAGGCCTCCTTTGCAAGAAAAGCAAGATAATAACCAAAATGATTAGGTGTTTAACTTAACACCTAACCAAGATAGTTAATTCTGGACAAAATTGGAACCAGAAAAAAACTGGAGAACCAAACTTAATCAGTTTCTAAATAAATGTTAAAACAATGTTTGGTTTGCTTGAAGAAATAGACCAAAAGAATGCAAGAATTGCTGTCTTGGTTCATAAAACAAACAATAACTTTTCTGAAAATGCAGAATGAACAAAATGCCTGCTAGTGGACTTCATATAAAACATTTTGCTTGATTAAGGAAAAGAAAAATCTAATGAAAACTAGCACAGATATCTTGGCTATTCATGTTTGGTTTGTCTAATCTTAACATTGATACTGATAATGCTCATAGATAGCAGGTTTTGAAAAAGCAACAACTACAAAAAGGTAACACTGAGACATACTATTTAAAATACCAAGGTTGACCAGAGAAATTTTATCCAATATCATCAGAAGAAATGTTTGAGAGTGTGTCTGCTCAACTTTCCCCCTCCCCCAAAATAACCCAAATAAAAAGCACAACAATTCTGTAGTGTACCAAGTGTATATTTCAATTTACTGTATGCAATCTAACAACAAATTTGGTCATAATTTACCAGATATACATAAATGATTTAAGTAGCAAAAGGAGATTCGGTTTCAAGAGAATAAGTAAAATACATTAAGAATGTAAAGCCAGGTCCAGTTTAAGCATTAAATGAGTAGTATATTCTAATAAAGCAGATTTAGGTGGATTCCGGACACACATATATATAGGTATATATATGCACGTAGATCTACCAATTGTAAACTATTTTAAGGGGAATAAATGGGATGGAAGAATCTTCATACTATAACTTACATATTCACAGAGCAGAACATTTACTTAACGTTTAAAATACTTCCCATTCATATTATCTTTGCCCACTATTTTCTACTTTGGACCCACCAGAATTACACATTACTCATTTCAGTCTAGAACGAGAATAAGATGTATTCAGTTTTTTAAAAAACAAAACCCAAGAACTATCCATCTGTCAGGTTTACAGTGATGTGGAATCTACCAATGAAGGATTTGGATAGAAAAGGTTATACAATTTTATACCCATATTATGCAACTGCTCTTTTACTCTGCAGAAACAGTGTCTAACATCAATTCATTGTTTTACTGAAATAAGGGATAATAAAGCTGTCTCTTTAAATATATTTATATATATATCAACTTTGATCAGATGGAGCACCATTTAGATTCTATCTGTCAAAGCAATTAAGTTTACCACACAACTACCATAATTTAGTTCTCAGATATAAAATAGGAAAATATACTCATTTTAAAGTTAACAAACTCAAATATGGTGACCCCTTAACTTATAATACAGTACTATCACACTGGCCTAGCTATGTGTTATGGTAAATGCTGTGCATATTTATTCATTGTGACATAGTAATATAGTGAATGCAGTGTCTAAAATTCAGGTAGCTCACTTGCATTCAGGCTAGATGAAGCTGAGAATCCTAAGCATAAAAAGGTGCAATCCCCTCCCTTCCCTCAGAAAAAAGGCCTGAAATCATTGGTACAATATAACAAGTTTAGAAAAGATTTATGGCTACAAAAATTCAAGTTTCAACATCTCATCCAAAAACAGAAGCAAAGAGCATTGGGGATAAATAGCTCTAGCAGTTATACTAACATTAAAAAAAGTTCCAGCAACTTAAGCTGCCAAGTTAAATGTAGTTCGTTTGGTATATAAAAGAACCCCCAAAATAGGAGAGAAGCAAAGGTTCATTTTGTGTTTCTTTAATGAAGAGCAATGGGGCACAAAAGACAGCCTCATGTCTAATTTTCCAAATAATAAAACTAGACAAAAGCAGACAAATTGGGTTGAACGATTTTAAACCAGAAGAAGCCAATTACATTTGTTTCTATTGTACCCTTCCTCAGATTCTATGACTCTAAGCTTTGTGATGGACTGAGGTATACAGTAGTGAATAAAAATGATAGCCAATACGAATAGTGCTAACAAAACATAAATTAAAAGGGCAGCCATGCCAAAAAGTGTCTAATATAAAGTTAAGTAACAAGGAGAAAATTTCTTTCATTCCAATCACAATCCTCCTTGCAGTTTTTCAGTCATTATTGTATATTTGGTGAAAAAGTAAGCTTTTTGAAAATTCAAGATACTGAAGCCAAGATAGTCAGTAAATTAAATATCAATGATTAAGTTCTCCAGGACTACTTGTCCAAATCACATCCTGATACAGCTAAGTGATATAGATCCATATTATCAAGAAATCTGGACCATCGAGAGGAAGGCAAGGGAGGTGTGGCAAGTTCCTCTTTCAAGAAACATGAGCCACTAGCCCAAATTAGCCACATTTGTTCTATGATTGGAATCAAGGGAGCCATCTCCAAAGATTGCAGTTTGCTTCATTCATGTTAAAGGACACATGAATGTATAACACAAACATAGTTATTACCATGTTTGATTAAAACCCAAATAGCTATATCCTATAAATAATAAAAAATACATTTTCTTTTGATAACTGACTGTAGATGTGAGGACTCTATAATTCAAATGGCTGTATGCTTTACAGTCCTGTGCAAATATCTTTTAAAAAATTAATAATCATTTTTTCTTTTTTTGCTATAAGGCTTTGACTCTACTATTTTCACAGCAACATAACTTCCATACAGCCTGTACCATATTTTCCAAGCCTTCAGTCAAAAATTCAGTATGGTCAGTCTATATGACTTCCAGATAAAGCATCTCTAAACCAAGCCCCCTCAGTCTTCCAAAGGCACACAGACTTCCCCAGATTCATCCCATCGAGTCTGGTCATTCTGTTCTTCCACATCATCGGGCAGCTCTTCATCAGCATCGCCCACTTCATTTTCTTCAAACTCTTCATCTCTAGGAAAATCTGTGTCCTGTACCTGGTCTACTCCTTCTTGCCCTCCTGGTTGAGATTTATCTGCACAGTCAACACAAACACCGTAACGTCGAGATCCATGTCTTATTCCAACACTGGCTGCTAACATGAAAATCTTCTTACACACCATACATTTGTACTTTTTATCTTTTTTGTGAACCTGCACAAGAGAAGATAATCATTAAATTAGTTTTTTCACATTTCTTAAATCTCTTAATTATTTTGGCTGTTACCCTTAATACAAAATGTAATTGCTACAAAATTTTAGTTTTGCATGTATCTCTTTGACAACCTAAAACTGGAGCCAGGGACCTAAATCCAAGTGCTAGTCTTAACAAGAACAGATCAACTGTATAAACAAATACTTGGCAAGTCAACACTTATGTAAATTCTTCTAATTCACAACTGGATCTAAGCTACTGTGACCAATCCTGAGTACTGTTTTTCACAAATGGTCAGAAACACATGATTTTTGTATTATAATTTTTACATCTGGGCTCTGTCTTGAGCTAAATAAAGATTTACAGCCAATATTTAAGCCTCATGTTTCTTAATGATGACCTACATTACATATATGGACCATTTAGAACAAACCTGCACAACGTGGCAGCAGGAAGGTGTAAAAATTAAAATAGACTACACTTCTTTGGTCTACAGATAGTTTATTTATTTATTTATTTGTGACATTTATATCCCACTCTTCTCACCCCGAAGGGGACTCAGGGTGGCTTACATAATTGGCATTATTTCATGTTCAAACAACAATTAAAAGCAATTAAACAACAATTAAAAACAACATATGTAAACATTAGATGACTATTGTTAGCACCTCACCAAATTACAACTCCCAGGATTCCATAGCATTGAGCCATGACGATTAAAGTGTTACCAAATGACATTAATTATACAGCATAGATGGACTGTGTGTCTTTGAACTGTACTAAAATGGTTAGTCTTCCAGGAGTCACTAGATTTATGGCAATGAAGCTCTCAAGCAGCACATTTTTACTCAATTTAGTATCGCCCCTTTGGCAGTTTCCTCCCTTCCAAGAGTGGCTATTTCTGCACTCTTGCCTCCTGGGCCAAGAAACGGTCTCTGTGGCAAGAGAACCTGTGAAAGTGGCAGTCCCTTTGGACCACCCCCAATATGATAGAGACGTCATAGACCACCACAGCCACCGAAAAGTGGGTTTTGGACAGCATCATGGACTGAGGTAGAAATATGATCTACTGAAATGCTATAATAGTCCCACAGAAATGCTCTGCTTGTTCTATTTGTCTATTCTTGATGAAACTTGCAACTGGATTTTAGTCCATAGTTCCAGTTCTGTGTTTTCAAAAAGACAGATACAAAGCTAAATGTTGAAGTATTTACCTTTTGTATTAGAAGTAACAGTAAAAGCAAAGAATGCTGAAAAATCTGTATACTCTTTTAATTTATTCACAACTTAAAATTGATGAGGTAGGCCTGGCAGAAGAAATTGGTCTTTAATTGTGTTTTAAATTCCAACAACTGATCTAGCTGTCGGAGCTCTTCTGGCAGGTCATTCCACATTCTTGGAGCAGTTGATGAAAAAGTCCTCTGAGTGACAATTACCAGTCGGGTTCTGGTTGGTTGGAGTAGATGCGCCCCTGCCCGCACCCCAGGACCTCAGTGTTCAGGACGGATTGTATGGGAGAAGGAAATCCTGTAGGTAACTTGAAACAAAACCATGTAGGGCTTTAAAGGTCACTTTATACTTTGCCTGGAAACTAATTGGCAACCACTGGAGTGACTTTAGTATATGTACAATATGCTCACTTCTGGATGTTTCTGTAACCAATATGGCTGCTGCATTTTGAACTAATTGGAGTTCCTGAACTTGGTACAGAGCTAGCCCAATGTAAAGTGCATTGCAGAAGTATAACCTTGAGGTTACCAGCGTGTGCACTGTTCTTTTCCAACAATAAATAATATATCTATGACATGGTATTCCAACTATACAACATGAAGACCTTAATGAAAAATTTCTGAGGCTTTTTGTTTCTACACACTTTAAAAAAATTCCAGAAAAAATGGCTTTGGAAAAAAACGGAACAAAAACCTGTTTTCCCCCAATTTTCCCCAGGTTTTTTTTCAGGCCTTCCCATCTCTAACCCTGCCTAATGCCTACAGATAATCTCACCCAGTGGTTTCATGAAAATGTTAAAAAGCATTGGGGATAGAATGGCATATTGTGAGATGCCCTATTACAGCTCCTTTTGGGAGGAGGAGCTATCCCAAAGCACCACCGTCTAGAATCAGCCTGAGAAGTATAACCGGAACCAATACAGCACAGTGCCTCCAGTCCCTTTCCCCAAGATGTTACAGAAGGATACTATGGTTGATGGTATCAAAAGCCGCTGAGAGATCTAAAAGCATCAACAGGGATGTACACCTCTTCTCAGTGATAAGACGGAGATTATCTACTAAAGCAACCATAGCAGTCTCAACTCCGTGTCCTGGTCTGAAGTGGATTTGAAATGGGTCAAGGAAATATGTTTCATCCAAGACTTAATGGAGCTGGAGAGGACTGCCTCCTCAAATACTTTGTCCAAAAAGGAAAGGTTAGAAACTGGTTTGTAGTTATTAAGATCCAGGGAGGTTTTTTTCAGTAGTGGTCTAGCTACGGCTTCTTTTAAACAGGATGGAAAATTCCCTTCCCTAAGAGATGCATTGATAATTTGTTGTATTTGAGATCTTATTGCATCTTCTCCCTGAACAACCAGTCAAGAGGAACAGGAATCAAGAAAGCAGGTTGTCCTCCTTACTTGCCTTGGCAGCTTGTCCACATCAACAGTACTGACTAACTGAAACTGATCCAGAGCTGCTGGACAGCTCACTGTTGACTTCTGCTCCAATGAAAGCATCTAAGTCAACTCTTAAGCAAGAGATTTTATCTGTGAAATGGTTATTAAAGGCATCACAGTGAGCTACTGAAGGTTCTAGCAATGGGCTTGGGGGGTGGGGGGCACCAGGGTTAATGGCACAATAATCTGTGGTATCACTCAGACATATAGCATAGACTGAATCTGTAACCCAACATATATTTACATGGGAATATGCCACAGGGAACTCCTATGGAATTCAGTGGCATCTACTTCTGAATAGGTATGTCTAAGGGTTATGTCTGAAATATTTTAGGATTCTTTTTTATTAAATACAGTTGTCAAGCTGGTCTGGGGCTATTACAGAGCTCCAAATAGTCACAGAAAGTTATGTGGTCTGAAAACATGCAATTGCATCAAGCATTTCCGAGAGTGAAAACTTTTAACTAAATTTGAGAGCAGCTGACTATTTAATTATGTTCTAAATTAACATAAACCTACGATCACCACACACCAAGTTACTTTCTAGTGAGGACAGTAGTAATTTCAAGATGTTACATACCAAGGAATGTCTTTTTACATGCTCTCTGCGAGTAAATAGCTTTCCACAAATGTCACAGCTGAATGATCTTACTCCAGTATGTATGAGCAAATGTCTCTTTAGTGTTCTTCTGTATTTGGCTACATAGTTACAGTGTGGACACTTGAGTTTATTCATGATTAAAGAAGAGTCACCTAAAAATGAAAACATAATGTATTGAAGGTGTGAGGCAAGCAAAGTATTTTTGTATCACATTACTGTTTAGTACAGAGCTAATTCTGATTATAAGAGCAGTCAAAATGAAGGTACTGACTTCAGTCAAGCATGGCAGAAAATAGAACATAATTTACTGACATATATTGGGATGATTGTAATATATTAGCTAGCTTCTCACTCCCAATGATTTAACAACAGCAACTAAAAGGTTGCATCTCTCATCTCCAAATCAGGCATGAAACTCTGTGTGTGAAAATGAAAACAAACGGACTGAACATATGCAATCAGGTCTTCAAATCCAAGTGTATAGTGTGCCTTCCCTCCAATCAATAATTTGCATCTGGCTTTGATTGATGTTTTGGGGATTCTAATAAAATGTAGACCCATCAACCCTTGAAACAGACAAAACAAACAGACAATAACAAAAATAGTGTATTTCACAAAAAGTGTGTGTACTCTAAGGAAGGTCTCCTGCAACATGAAGGCAAGCTTTTTTCGCGGGAAAAAAACTTCCAATGGAAGATATATCAAAGGTATATGCAATAGGTCGGAGCTAAACATGAGCCACCCTCTCCTAGGCTTCCATGTGAGCAATTAGCTTTTAAGAATCCCTGTACTGTTGCCAATGGATGCTTCTCAAAAGCTGACAAGTACTGTTGGGAATAGGAAAGATGGGAGTGTATATATTAGGAGTGGGAGGGGGGGGGGGCTCTAGCCAGAACAAGACTATTATTCCTCCATGCTGCATCTCCTCTCTCCATATACCAAAGGTACAATGAAAGGATTTTAAAAACTGTGAGGGAAGATGAGTGAGGATGTTTTATAAGACCATCTACAACTCTCTAACCAAGTGTACCCCATTCTGTAGATCCACCCTTTTGTGGATTCTCTAAGTCTTCAGACAGCTATGTTTACTGATAAACAGTAAACAGGACAAATTAATGCATGACATTTCTAAAACCAGCCTCTATTATAATTTACATGTGTCCTTTTTACAAAAGCTTAGGAGAGGTGATAAAATATATGGGATATCGCCAATGAACGCAATAAAGTTAAACTGAGATATTCAAAATACAATTGCAACTAGGATTATGCCCTAACTATGCATTATCCTATATGCCATTCTGAGTAAAATATATGAAGTATTGTCTGGATTATATAACGATTGAGTGCTAACTACGATTCCGACCGCCATTTAAGGTGAGAACTATTACGCTTGCTCATACACATAAGAACAGATTGATAACTTTACTTGCCATTTTCCCAGTTTTCCTTGGGCCAGGATTCAGGTAACAAGCCATACTTGAAATCATTTGAAGTGCCTGGTAGCAATCCAAACTTGAAATCACTTGAAATACCAGGAAACATTCCAAACTTGAAATCGTTAGAGGAACCTGTTATAAGATGGCATAAAGAATGTTTAATATAGTAGCATGTATAATAAAATTAACAGAAATGAACAAGCAACATCATATGTACATACAAGACAGCTAAATACAAATGAACAACCCAATAAAATATATAAGCATGATGTATATTCAATTTCAGGGAAAAAATAAGTTTCTATGATATGTCGATGAATTTCTAAATCTAAGGAAGTCCTATCAAATAATTAAGATCTCGTTGTATTGTCGAAGGCTTTCATGGCTGGAATCACTGGGTTGTTGTAGGTTTTTTTCAGGCTATATGGCCATCAAATGCTAATCAAGGTGGTCAGTTGAAACATTCACACCTAGCTCCAGCAGACAAGAGTCCTTTGTCTCACCCTGGTCATTCCATAGATATATAAACCCCTTTCCCTAGTTCCAACAGACCTCACTACCTCTGAGGATGCTTGCCATAGATGCAGGCGAAACATCAGGAGAGAATGCCTCTAGAACATGGCCATATATCCCAAAAAAACCTACAACAACCCAATTAAGATCTGGTACAAACCACTAGAAAGGTAACAGATTTGTTCTCTTGTGCCTAGACAAAGGCAGAATGGTCCAGAAAGTAGTTCTAGCAGAAAATCAGTGGGATTGTGCAAGCATGTTCTACAGTTTTCATCATGAAACAACTCTACATTTCTCAGTCATTGCAATCAACATTCAACTGGGTTTTTTCTTGGTATTTGTGTGTGTGTGTGTTGTCCATGAACTTCTGGTAATCTCATGAATATCACAGGGTCTTCCTAGGTAAGGAATACTCAAAGGTGGTTTTGCCAGTTCTTTTCTCTGAAATGTAGTACCTGTCTCCCATCCAAACACTAACAGGCTGACCCTATTTAGTTTCCAAGATCAGATGAGATCTGGTGCATTTTGCTGTAATTTATTTTACTTTCTTTGCAAAAGTATAGCCTTAAGGACAGGAGGACATGTTAATCTGAAGGGGTAGCCAATTGGTACTTATCAAAGACAGGTCATTTATTAGATACTGACAGTCAGCACAGATATAACCTTTTTATTGTGAAAAAAATGGGAGTATAGTGAAAGTGTTCTTTCACTTACAGGACGAACCTATTTCTTTAAATTCCCATTAATAAGTAATTCACTCTCACTGTCTGTAATAACCATATAAGTAAGCAGCCATGATATAGCTAAGCTTGGAAGTAACACTGGCCTCAAGTACAAAATACAGTCTTCCATTCCACCTTATTCTTGTCCCAACATACATAACCGCATGAGACAGCAACACAAGTCAGAACTGGAACTATGTGATATTCCTCCATCACTGCTTAGTAAAGCTACATCCCCATCAACTACAGAAGTGATTAAAAAGTCATACTATAAAAGATGTTAGGTTATTTCTGATTAAGTTATACTCATAATACTTTGTATAGTTACTTGAGAAAGCTGTTTTGCACATCCTTAAATGCTGGGTCAACCAGTCCATTTTAGAACAGGAATGGGCAAAGAGTAGCATGGAGGCCACAAGATGTCTCTAAAAAAAATTTTGTTTGCCTCAGGCTGTTCTGCCTTCCCAAAAGACCTTGCACTTCAACAACAACAAAATAAGCTATTAGTTAGTTTGTTAAAATTCCCAGAATTGATACTATGCTGCTTCTGGAAGCTTCCAGGGTTACAAATTCATGTCTATACTGCCCTCAAGTGCTCCAATGCCAAAAACATTGAAAACTGGATTTGCAAACCAAAAGTCACTGCCAGTTTTATGGTTTAAAATCTACTCAACACAGGGTTATATGGCCTACCACAGGAGCACAAGGATGAAAACTGCCACCCTACAATTATCATAGTTGCCTACCCATTTTAGCATAAAATACATGCATGTTCAGGATTGTATTTTTCATGTTCACAGGAAACATAACTGTGTATGGTAGTTTTATGTGCCAATGTATGAAGAACTACTTTTTTAAACAACCTACACTGGCAAAGCAAAATAGATAACCAGTATATAGAGATATATTGGATCTGAAAATGGAGGTTTTGTTCAGGTGGTATGACTAAAAGGAAAAGCTTCCATGAAGAGAACAATAAGCAAAGTTCTGGGTGGGTAAAACGAATGAAATAGCTTATGGGGATGAGGCAATAGGGGGCCTGCAGATTTCACATCACGAAGAGACAGAACCAATTATAAACCCGATCCACTCTGGAATTGCACCCAACAGCATCCACTAGGATTTACAACTATTTTATATAAACCCTTTCACTTTGTACTACAGTTAATAAGACCATCAAGAGGCTACTTCCATATTTGATATTGTAAAGCATGCTTTCTCAAACTGTGCTCCTCGAGAAATCCCAGCCAGATTACCAGCTTTATAGGAATTGTGGGAGCTGAAGTCCAAAACATCTGGATGAGCACAGTTGGAGAAACTCTGTTATAAAGCATTGTAGTACCAGGCATGTACATTTGTGCATGATAGCTCACCTCATTATCTACATCAGGCCTGCACAACCAGCTGAAGTCCAAAACACACATGCCCCTACACATGTTTTGGATTTCAGCTCCCAGAATTCCTGACCACTGAACAAGCTGGCTACGGCTTCTGAGAGTTGGTGGCCCAGGTCTAGTCTTCATCAAACTCTGTAAGTCTTTAAGATGCCACAAGACAATTGTTATGACAGATGTATATACTAACAACAGGTACCTCCCCCTAGTACTGATGGATGCATGTTTTTTAAAAAAGATTTATTTTCCCCCAAATAAAAAGAATATAACTGAAATAATCAAATACAAGTATCTTGAATGGCTATTTGGGGCCTAAAGTTTGGTGGTGAGGTAGTATGGTTACAAAAATGACTTCAAAAGGAATAACTGTGTTCTTTGGAGAATTCTGGGAATATCTCCCACCACCCTCACCCCCAGGTGTAATGGGCTTTTAAGGGGAATCTGCCCCAAATGGTGACCAGAAATCATCATTATGTTACTTCTAATGTGACAAAAAGTACCACTGCAGCCTGGACATCAAAATCCTGCAGTTGCCTACATGTGCTGCAGAACTAATATTTTAGAGATCTCTGTATTCCTTTAATATCAAAGCTCAGACTCCCCAGAAAAAATATTTTTACAGCTGAAATCAAACTATCTACTTTTTATCCATGCAAAACACACACAACTGTTCACTGTTATATATGCTTTTAAAACTATGCATCTATTCACAATCTCATCTGATCTTGGAAGCTAAGAAAGGTCAAGCCTAGTTAGTACTTCAATAGGAAATAACCAGAAGATACAGAAGGGCAATGGCAAACCTGTTCTGAATATTCTATGCTTAAGAAAAAACATCATGAAATTCATGGGGACACATGTCAACAGGTGACAAACATATGCATAAGACAGTTCCACAGAGTTCATTTCACCTTCTCCCAGATAAGGGAAAACAGAATTGTATAAAAGATACAGTTTTATTTGCAGATATAATAGTAATGGGATATTCCAGTGTCCTTTCCTGCCAGAAATTTCATAAGCAATTGAAGAGTAAACTACACTAGCTGCTTCATCACACTAGAGCAGTGGTTCTCAACCTGTGTGTCCCCAGATGTTTTGGCCTACAACTCCCAGAAATCCCAGCCAGTTTACCAGCTCTTAGGATTTAAGGGAGTTGAAGGCCAAAACATCTGGGGACCCACAGGCTGCACTAGAGAATGAATCCAGGCTGTTAAAGGCTCCTCCCTAAACTACAAACCCCAGAATTCTGCAGGGAGTTTCTAAAGTGGATTCATACTCTAGTATGATGAGGTCCCTAGACCAACAGGAAACAATATTAAGTTATACAACACAACAAGAAGAAGTCCTTTTGTTTTTTAAATCACAAGCTTATCAAATATTCCAAGAAGCCTGAATAGGAAAAATAGTAACACTGTGGCTGTGGGGAATTGAATTAGCAATCTATGTGTTCAGCTTTCCAGAGTAGCAACCAAGAAACAAGAAATGTCAAAAATATCCAAATAATATCCAAACTCCAGAAAGCAATCTTGGTTAATTAGATGTCCAGACCATCACTGCAGCAATGGACTTTAGATACTTAAAATACCAGTACTCATTCTGCCCTTTAAAATTTGAGATAATAATGAAAGCTCATGATACTTCAATTCAGCATTTATACTACTGGAACATGTAGCAAGCTTTCCAAAGGTTCATGAATGGGATTCAATTATCTTTATGTTAACTATCAGAAGGTTAAAATAATTCTAATCACTTCAATCAAATATTTAACCAACTTCTGCAACTGAATGATGCCACATATTAGCCGCATACAACCAGTTCTGCCCTGACTCTATCTGTGGTTGAACTTTCCCATTGTATTTTTTTCTGCATTTCTAGCAGAAGACCAGAATGTAACAGAATATCCAAGTATTTTATTGCATTTATTGGTAAGAGATGGGAAAGTCCTGAGAATGTCTTCTTTTGGGGAGAGAGAGAGAGAGAGAGCAAGTAAAAGATATGCCTAAAGGCATCTTTAAGTGCTAATTTTTGGGTTGTAAAGTGAAATGAATCCCAGAGTGCAGTCCTCAGAACTCAGTCTTCTTTAATCCAGCCCAAATTCTTAGAAAGAGCTCAAAGGATATTACACCACTGAAAAGTGAAGAATAAGAAGCATCTGAAGTCAGTAGCTTTTGTCTAAGGATAATTTTTACCATAGGTATACTTCTGTGGGTGTATGCAAGCAAAACTTGTAAAGTTTTGCACCAGGTCACTATGCTCCAAAACAAGATGTTTTTGTTTACTACAAAGTTGGCAAATTTGAATTTCACCTGTGATTATATTCTTATTTAGTTATTACCCCCCCCCCCCCGCCCCACAGCTAAAATATAATTGGAGTGTTGTGTGGTTGCCAGGCTGTATGGCCGACTAGCAGCATTTTCTCATGATGTTTCACTGCATCTGTGGCTGGCATCTTCAGAGGATCCAAGCCACAGACGCAGATGAAATGTCAGGTGAAAATGCTGCTAGACCATGGCCATACAGCCCAGAAACCACACAACACTACAGTGATTCCAGCCATGAAAGCTTTTGAAAATACATTAGAATATAATTATTTACCTTCAGATGGAGCAGACTGATATTCTCTCTCTAACACTGTAATTAGTTGCCTTATCCAAAGGCCATTTTCAAATCTATTTAGAAGCCAAAATAATCAAGCAGTAGAATCATGTAACAAATTATGCATAATGATTTTTACACTTTTAAAATTAGAAAAGTTTAAACCTGACATGACATTGTCTGTATTTCAATCTAAAAAAACCTATGCAATCTCCCAGGAGAGGAAAACGGATCTGAGCACTTTTATGTTTAAGAAACATCAAAGACAGAGCATGGGGCAAAATCAGAAAATACAAGGGTCAATCCTCTGCTAGCTTCTGGTTTAAGAACACATGGTAGAAATGTGAACTTGATTAGCAGACAAAATTCCCAAAAATATTGTTGCTGTGTGCCTTTATGTTGTTTTATGGGAACCTTAAGGTAAATCTATCATGGGGCTTTTTGGCAAGATTTGTTCAAAGGGGATTATCAGGGATGAGGGTGCATGATTTGCTCTAAGTGGCTTTCCATCATGGTCAAGTTGGGATTTGAGTCCTGGTTTTCAGAGTCATAGTTCAATATTCAAACCACTGCCCCACATATAAACCTGACTATTTCATACACTTAACAGCTAAAAACATACAGCATTTGAAACTCTTAATTATACCATTAAGATGAAATGTTCACTGTTAAACAAGGTTTTTTGAGACACTTCACTACACCATAAGTATTTCAGTCTTTATTCTAAACCTTTCGCAACATTCAACATACCTATAGCGCTCGTGTTTCTCCCACAAAAGTCTCAATGATATCAGATTTATCAAGGAGCATTTAAGTATTTCACACCTCAAAGTTAAAAGTGATAAATTTAAAACATAGAACAAAGAGGACATTATCATTTGGATTTAAAGATTTGTGTCAACTGGAGGTCACTTTTTTCCTCTTGCAAAGGAGAGAACGTCAACTGCCACATTAAAACAAGCTTTGATATTTAAAATGTGTATTGTGGAAGTTTTTACCTGCTTCTTCTTTTATGAACTGCAAGTCTTCTGGGTACTGGATTGATGCCTGTGTAGTTGAACAGTCGTCTAAAGTTTCTTCATTATTGGGTGGTATATTGTAAACAAACCTTTTTGCAGCTTGGTTTTTCCTTCTAGCTTTTCCCGGTTCTTGAAGTGATTGTCCCTGTGAGCTCATATCATTCCATACAAAGACCTTCCCTTCTCCTTGAGATTCATTTTCAGCCATTTCAGGTGAGCTATCCTGGACCCAATCGTTCATTTGGTAGTTTTCAGACTGATTCTCATCAATAGAGAAGCCATCGTTTTCAGTTTTTATGCTGCTTGCCAAGTTAGTAAGATTTCTTGTGGCCCAAAAACTAGCTACTTTCTGATCCCTACTAATGGACCTTCTGTTGTAATCCACAACTACAGCTTCCGGTGCTTCTGATTTTATGCTTATATTTAAGGCATCTTTGATAAAATTGCGACAGGATTGAACAACCTCTGTCATTTGAAGGTAGCTGGCCACTGACATCACTTCAATTGCATTCTGGCTTGTAAGCACAAGGTTACCAGAATACAAAAAGTCCAAGATGACAGAAAAGCCTTGAACAGCAACAACATCTAAGTAGGTAACAGTGGTTTGGTTACGGTTTTCTTTGTTTGTAAAGCAATATAAAGTCTTGAAGTAACGGCTGCCTGCAACCAGGATGTTTTTATGAGCTCTAAAGACTCTTCCACTCACCACAATATTGACATCACAGAGAATGCCCTTTTTCCTCTGCTCATTTAATTCTTGCAAGAGTTGATAGCAGTAAGAGTTCTCATTTGGCCTAACATTGTAATCGCAATCTGTTTCATTAATCAATTCTGATGTAATTTCGGATTCCTGTAATTAAAAGAAGAAAAAAAGAAGATGTTTGCATTTAGGTACTGGTTCATCTGCTTCTCAGCTTGAAGCAAATAACATTTTTTTCTAAAATCCTAATTCAATTTTACTCTTTCACCCACAATCTTTAACTGCAACAAAATAATAGTTAATAAAAGTGTTACCACATATCAAGACTATCCAGCTATGTTTCAATTAATATTTCATGATACTACTTTAAATTTTGCATAACAACTAGACTTTAACCATTTTAAATAGATCAGAAATGTCTGTGGTATACAGATACAACCATATGTGATTCATTGGTCTAAGCCCTTTGCATTTCTGCCTACTAGTAGAATCTTATCTACTACTCAGTTTACAGATCACAGATCTAATGCTGCATTATATTTACTTCGAACAAGGGAAATAAGTATACAAATGCAAGAGAACTCAAAAGCGTATAAGATTTCCAACTCACTGGTCAAGTTCAAACATACGCCATACTAATACGAGACTCTTCTTCAAACAACAGGTATTAGACTGAGCTGCAGAAATGGGTACTTTCCCCCTCTCTCCACCTACCTGCACTTTTCCATATCATCATGAAATCTGCTCTAGCACATGATCCAATAAACCGAGCAAGTTCTGATGATACAAAGAGGAAGCAGTTTTGATTTAGGAATGATCCCTAGGAACTGATACTTTGGCTTTTGGGGTATATCAGGCCCGTCCCATGATTTACGAAAAGCTTGTATTTCAAGAATGTTGTTTCTAGTTTCTATCTAGTTTTCTATCTATGACAACACAAAAGTGGACTGGTATGTTTTAATGGATATGAAATAAAATATATCCTGGCCATTATTTGCATTAGGCAATGTTTTGAGAATGGGATTCCAATATTTTCTGCTTGGACTGGAGCCACTGTAAAATCTACCATTAACTTTAAATTTTAATCTTCCACTTAAATATTTTAGAGATCCACTCAACAAATAAACTGTGTGAAGGGGTAACTTCAAATAATTCTGAATTCTCAAATAGCAGAACAATCAACACAATACATTATTAAAATTTGCTGGTACTTTCAACACTACTATTTTCTCTCCTGGTATAGAATGAGCAGTTAAAATTCATGTATGAGCAATTTTGGAATGATTTCTGAATCAGTAATAAGTAGCTGTATATACAATTTCTTTTAAACTTAACCATTGTCCACCTAAATATGCTAAAGGCACCAGATCCCATTGAAGCTAAGCAGGACAAGCACTGGTTAGTACTTGGATTTGAGACTGCCAATACATGTCAGGTACTGTATTTATTTACTTCATTTCTACCCCACCTTTCTCTACCCCAGAGGGGACTCAAGGCAGCTTACAAATCCAGCACTGTGCTGTTTTCAGAGAAAGAAACTGGCAGAACACCTCTTCCTAAGAAACTCCTATGAAATCTATGGGGCCAACGTAAGTCAACAAGCAATTTGAAGGCATGTGTGCACGCATACACAAAATCTGCAATTGGCTACTTTTTAATTCAGAAAAATAATTGAAAATTCTTCCTTGCTAAATTACTATTCTTATTAGCAACTGTACTGTAGTGTTGATCATTACAGAATAAATATTAAACAATTTTAATAAGTATAAATTTATTTAGCATTTCAGCTGCATGGCATCCAATCTATGAACCAACCCAATCTCTCCAGAGGACGTGACATATTCAGATTAATAACTAACAGGAAAATAGTAATTAAAAGCTAATGTGAACAATATCAATATGCTAAATACCTGCCATTAACTTTCTAAACATTAATCCCAGACTTAAATGACAACACTATATAATGCATTAATACAGTTTCATAATGTTTGAGAGTTTGGATCATTGTGTTTCCTAAAAGTCACAATTGTGTAGATACAATACAATTTGGATGGAAAGGGGTCTGCTGAAAAAAAATGGATTAACCACTACTTATGTATATTCCATATAGTATGTTAACAGCTTAGTAAGTCCCTCTGCACCCAAGCACATTAACCCCAGGTACAGACAGCACTAGACTTAAAGTGCCACAAAACTGAGTAAGAAAAAAACAAAAAAAAACAAAAAAAAAACTAAGGCACATTTAGCTAACTAAATGCTCAGAAGTTAAAGTCTAACTACATGCAATATACTGTGCTTATGGAACTCACACTCATCCGCTATTATTTAATTGACAATTTCCAATTACTAGCTCTGTGTATTCAGGTACAACTGTGCCATCTTTTTTTTTCCTGTAAGGCTAACCATTACTACACCATTACAACTTTAAACAATTGATAGTTCTCAGAAACTATCCAGCATCCCTTTCCCCAGCAAGACACTTTTCGCTGCTCTTCTTTGTCTCTATCAATATAACAAAAACAACCAAGATGAACAGCCTTTAATACAATAAAACACAGACTATTATTTTACAACAACACTACAGAGTTGCTTCTTCAAAGTATCTATGAAATGTGTGATGTATGGATAATGGGATTTTAATTAGCTTAACAATCTAATCCACCAAACTGATCTTCAGGAACAAACCTGTGAGACTGGAGACTAACATCCTATAACTATTTTAGGAATCCTTACACTGAAGAGATCAGCTGCACTTATTAAAAAGACTGTATCCTACATGTTCAATTTTATGAGTACGAACAATATTAAGATATTACAAGAATGTTTACACAGCAGTAAGATTTTAGATGATTTAGTATGGCATATCAGGAAACACTAATACACTATTTTGTTCAAAGAAAAACGTTACTAATGACTTTTAGTGTATGCTAAATTAACCAGGTATACTATGTGTAATAATAAAAGTCACTATGCACACACCTAGGAATCTGTAAGAGATTAGAGTTCTGGGAACTGTTAGTTCAGATAACTATACAGAAACGATATGAGAGCAAATCAAAGAAAAGCAAATAAAATAATGTAGTTTGACTCCTCATACCTTCCATGATTTTTTGCAAAATAACTTGAAAATGCTGTTTTTGTCACCACATACATTTATCTCAATGCTTAAATGCAGCGGCTATGAAATATTATAAACCAGTTTTTCCAACTGCCTAAATTTTAATGCTTGGGGCATACTTTGCATGACATACTGCTTTTAATAGACTCAAACATTCAAATTAACAATCCTCATCCTGTTACAGGTGAGAAACATAGATTTTTATTTAATTCTTCAGCAAGTTAATATGAATAAAACAATATGAATAGTTACATGCTTGAAAGCATAAGCGACAATTTCAATCAGCCTGGGATGCCACACAATTCAAAAATGCACAAAGATCTGATTTATTAAGTAGAAAACACATGTATTATATACAATATTAACATGCTATGTAGTAGTTATAGTCTAGAACAGTGGTTCTCAACCTGTGGGTCCCCAGATGTTTTGGCCTTCAACTCCCAGAAATCCTAACAGCTGGTAAAATCGCTGGGATTTCTGCAAGTTGTAGGACAAAACACCTGGGGACCCACAGGTTGAGAACCACTAGCCTAGAAAGCTGTCTATGGTACACTGGTAAAATGTCTGTAATGCAGCAGGATACAGATTAATGGGAATTCTATGTATTTGGGCTGACCTTCGAATGGATCAAAAATGTGTAAGCTATCACTGTCTTGTCTCACAGTGACCACATCACACTGAAATTTTAGCTCAGCTTCAGTACTTCTCATTTATCTCTCAAGTTCAAAGCTCAGAAAAGCAGATTTTCTGCATTGTATTGCAGTCAAATTATACTTTCAGAGGGACAGCACTAGAAAATCTCCCACCTTTCTTCAAGTTTGTACAGAAGAATTGGGAATGATGTTGTGATCATAATTCCCAGCAGCCTTAAGCATCATAATAAATGGTAAGGATTGCTAGACCATGCAATTCAAAAACACCTGGAAGAGATACCCCAATCCCACCCACTATAGAAGGAATTCCATAGATGCTTCCTTTCTTACTCTTCCACTAGGCTTTCTGACATCCCCCCCCCCCCCCCCCCCCCCAGTAACATTAAGCATTAGATAATGCTACCAAGTTCAAAACACCAAGTAGATTTGGTTGGAAGACATAGGAATACGGTCTGTAAGGTCCGTATTAATCTACAAGTAGAACATTATTTTTGCGGTTTCATTCTCAGAATCAAATATTACATCTCTTGCACTGTGTGGTTTCATGTATTCATTTTCTTTACTTCTTAGTTGTCTTAGATAATTGTTTTAAAACATTCCCAATACAGGGTCTCTAAAGACCACCAGCTATGGCAATTTGTGAAACTAAGCATGGGAAAATAAGAACATGTACACTGGTCAGTTGGGTCTTTCTTCTCGTGTTGCTTCTTGCTGCTTCATTCTGCCTTGGTGCAGCCGCACCCTCACAAAAACAAAGCAGCAAGCAAAGGTCAAATGCCCATGAAGGTTTGATAAGATTGTGGATAGATTAAAGCAGTTTGTTTTCCCAAAATGAAAATTAAATTGGTAGGTAGTACACATTCTTTTTTATCAGATGAATTCTACTTTATCTCAATGTGATGGAAGACACTGATTCAGTTTACATCTTAATTGTAGGACTAGCATACTTGTAACCAGATATAAATTTTATATCATTACTATGACATTCAGAAGAATTGTAATATTTACAACACTGAAAAACAAAATCATTTTCAAAAACAAAATATTAAGTTAGTTACTTTTAACATATCCTGAGGGCCTCAAAATACTCAGAGAAAAGGCTTGGGACATTAAGGGAACAGATGTATCAAGGGTTAAGATGTTCTGTAACATTCACTGAAATGGTATACTATTATATCTTTGGGCCAGAGCTGTGTACTTTGCCACTGACAAAGGCAGAGTGCTTAATTTTAGGCATGGAAGGCCAGTGTCACATTCCTACAACTTTTAATATCTTCGGGTGGTTTTAAGCATGTCACTCTAGAACTTAGCTTTTTTTTTTTTATGTTAAAAAATGTTTAACATAGCACTTGCTAGTAATGTACACCTTGATCTGAACCATCAAATTTTGCTTAGCAGATGAGTATCTCTATCTCAATTGTATCTTTAGGTCTTTTGCTGGCTTCTCATCTTAATGTAATCTGTAGTCTCCGCCGTTAGCAGAACCGCCTTCTTTCATCTGTGGCAGGCTAGACGGCTGGCCCCCTACCTGTCCAGAAACGACCTAGCTACGGTGATCCAGGCCACGGTCATCTCAAGACTAGACTACTGTAACACCCTCTACATTGGCCTTCCTCTGTCGGTGATCCGGAAGCTCAAGTTGGTACAAAATGCAGCTGCTCGGCTTCTTGCGGGAATTCCGATGCGATGCCACATAACACCAATCTTACTACAGCTGCATTGGTTACCAATTGAGCACCAGATCACTTTCAAAGTGATGGTACTCACCTTTAAGGCCTTGCATGGTCTGGGGCCGATGTACTGAGGGACCGCCTCACCCCCTACCAACCCCAGAGATCCCTCTGTTCTGAGGACCAAGATCTATTGGAAGTCCCCAGTGTCAAGACCTTGCGTCTAACAGCAACCAGACGCAGAGCCTTCACAGCAGTGGCACCATCACTCTGGAATACTCTGCCACCTTGCGGGACTTACCAGCTATCCGCAGGGCATGTAAGACATACCTGTTTCGACAGGCTTTTAATGTTTGATAGTGTTGTTTTTAAATTGCTTTAAATTGCTTTTAAATTTTGTTAGATTTTAGCTAGTCTTGTAAGCCGCTCCGAGCCCCAGGGGAGTGGCGGCATATAAGTTTAAATAATAAATAAATAAAATAAATAATCTACTCCAACCTACCTCAATTTAAGAGTGAACTCCTAGAAATATAACAAATTTGTTGTTATGCGACTTTTGAGAGGTTTGCTGTTTCTTTGAGGCTGTGAGAGTGTGATGTACTCAAAGTCGCCAAGAAGATTTCTATAGCTGAATGGGGATCTGAACCTTAGTCTCCAGAGTTGTAATCCAACACTTAGATTATTTTATCATGCTGGCTGTAGAACAAGCTTAATGACTCTCTTTTATTTGCTGTTGTGCTTCTGTGTGTGATCTTTCTGACTGTAGTAAGAATGTTATTAATTACTATAATCTGCAGCACTTCAGACATAAAAGTGATGCTGAGACCTGGTGCACCTATTGCTGTGACAACTTGAATGCAGATGATAAAACATATTCTGGACTCAAAAGAGTAAAAAGTTCAGTAACTCAGCAGAGCCCAGAATACAACACAGAAATGTTGTCATCCTCATTCAGGTTGGAAGCAATATGAGCACCTAGCCTCAGCATCACCTATATGCCTGAAGCCCTGTCCAGTAATGTAAATAATACAGTATTTACAATCAGAAAAATCCACACCACGTGAAGTGATAGAAATATCTCAGATGTGAAACTATTTACAACTATAGAATGTTTCTATTAGTATAAAGCAATCCAAATTATGTAATACTACAAACATATACAAAAACGTAATCAATTCATTTAGCTTCACCAACACCCTTCACAGAACTATTGTGGTCAAAGTAATGAAAACAGTTTGAAGCCTCCTGTTCTTTGACAGTTTATTAATTAACTGTTGTCACTGTGGGGACAGTATTTACTTTTCAAGAACTCCAAGGAAGTTTCAATGTGATACCATTTACACATTTTCCCCTGCGCCTACTCATGTAGGATAGGGTGTACTGAGTGAAAATACCATGCACAGGAATATCATTCACAAAAGGGTGACAGGAACCCATGGCCAAAGAGAATGGGTTAGTATACCAATGGTCTACATTCCTACCGTGATCAAGACACATTCCCAGCTTGAAGACCTTTAACTGTGTCATGTGGATCTTTATAGTTAAAGGCAGGATTATACTATGAAGGGAACAGGCACTGAGAGATAACCATTAAGGAAGCTCAAACTTCTAAAAGGTTGCATGGCTAGGGGGTAAAGCTTCTTTCTAGACATAACTCTCTGTCAAGTCAGCCTGAAAACAGAAGGCAAAATAATCTGCTTACTGGAGACAGAAGGTGAACCGGGAGCATATTGTGCCCTCCAGCCCAGGCAATGGAAGAGGGGAATCCATTTAAAGCAGCTCGCACACGTGGGCACCCCGCCTGGCCAGCAGCTCCCCCCAGGGAAGGTGGGAGGGAAGGAGAGAAGGAAAAGAAGGGTAAGGAGAGTGGGAGGGAGGGGAAAAGGAAGGAATGAAAGGAAGAATGGGTAGGAGAGTGGGAGGGAGGGGAAAGGGAAGGAAAGAAGGAAAGGAAGGGTAGGAGAGTGGGAGAGAGGGAAGATGGGAAGGAGGGGATGAAAGAAAAAAAGGAAGTAAAGAAGGGAGAGAAGGGTAGGAAAGTGGGAGGGAGGGTAGGAGGAAAGAAAGGAAGGAGGGAAAGAAAATGGGCAAGTAGGAAGGAAAGGAGGACAGATGGGGAGGAGAGGGGAAGAAAGAAGGGTAGGTATGAAGGAAAGAAGGACAGAAGGGGAGGCGAGGGGAAGGAAGGGTTGGAGAGTGGGAGGGAGGGGAAAAGGAAGGAGTGGAGGAAGGAAAGAAGGAAAGAGGAGGAAGGAAGGGAATGTAGGAGGGATGGAAGATGGGAAGGATGAAAGAAAGAAGGAAGGAAATAAAGCAGGAGGGAGGGTAGGAGGAAATAAGGGAAGGAGAGAGGGAAAGAAAACGAGTAGGTAGGAAGTAAAGGAGGATAGAAGGGGGTGGAGGATGGAAGGGTCGGCAAGTGGGAGGGAAGGTAGGAGGAAAGAGGGAAATAAAGGAGGATGATAGAAGGGGAGGAGGGGAAGGAAGGAAAGAAGGGTAGAAAGGAGAGAGGGAAGGAAGGAAAGAAAGGAGGGAGGGAAAGGGAAGGAAGGGAGAGGGAAAGAAAAGTAGGATAAAGGGGGAAAAGAAGAGGAAGGAAGGGTAGGAGAGAGGGAAAGAAAATGTGTAGGTAGGAAGAAAAGGAGGACAGAAGGGGAGGAGAGTGGCAGGATGGGTTGGAGAGTGGGAGGGAAGATGGGAAGGAAGGGTATGAGAGTGGGAGAGGGTAGAAGGAAAGCAGGGAAGGGAAGAGGGAAAGAAAATGGGTGGGTAGGTAGGAAGGAAAAAATAGAAGGAGAGGAGAGGGGCAGGAAGGGTAGAAAGGAAAGAGAGAATGAAAGAAAAAGGGAGGGAAGGAAGAATGGAGAAAGGGGGAGGGAAAAGGAAAGAAGGGAGAAGAGAGGAAGGAAATGGGTAGATAGGAGGGAAAAATAGAAGGGGAGAGAGCAGGAAAGGTAAACAGGAAAGAGAGAATGAAATAAAAAAGAGAGGGAAGGAAGGGAAAGAGGGAAGGAGAGTGAGAGAGGGCAGAAAGGAAGGAAAGAAAAACAGGAGGGAGAGCGAAGGAGAGAAAGTAAGGAAGGGTAGGAGAGTGGGAGGGAAGGTAGGAGGGAAGAGGGAAAGAAAGAAGTGTATGAAGGAAAGGAAGGTAGTTAGAAGGGGAGGAGAGGGGCAGGAAGGGTTGGAGAATGGGAGGGAAGGTAGAAAGGAGAGAGAGGGAAAGAAAGAAGGGAGGGAGAGGGAAAGAAGGAAAGGTAGGAACGTGGGAGGGCTAGAGAGAAAGAGAAAGGATGGGAGGGGAGGTAGGAAGGAAGGAAGCAGGGAGAGGAAGAGGAAAGAAGGGAGAATAGAGGTATAGGAGGAAGGGAAGGGGGGAGGAGAGCAAGAGGATAGAACTGAACAGAAGGTAGGAAGGAAGAAAACAGGAGGGAGAGCGAAGGAGAGAAAGTAAGGAAGGGTAGGAGAGTGGGAGGGAAGGTAGGAGGAAAGAGGGAAAGAAAGAAGTGTATGGAGGAAAGAAAGGTAGTTAGAAGGGGAGGAGAGGGGCAGGAAGGGTTGGAGAATGGGAGGAAAGGTAGAAAGGAGAGAGAAGGAAAGAAAGAAGGGAGGGAAAGGTAAAGAAGGAAAGGTAGGAAAGTGGGAGGGCTAGAGAGAAGGAGAAAGGATAGGAGGGGAGGCAGAAAGGAAGGAAGGGGGGGAGAGGAAGAGGAAAGAAGGGAGAATAGAGGTATAGGAGGAAGGGAAGGGGGGGGAGAGCAAGAGGTTAGAACCGAACAGAAGGTAGGTGGAGAGGAGGAGAGGGAGGGAGGGCTAGAGAGAAGGAGAAAGGATAGGAGGGGAGGTAGAAAGGAAGGAAGGGGGGAGAGGAAGAGGAAAGAAGGGAGAATAGAGGGGCAGAGAGAGGGGAGGGGCAGAGAGAGAGGAAGGGAAGGCGGGAGAAGGAGATCAAGAGGGACTGTGAGAGCTGTTCAGCAATGGAACTCTCTGCCCCGGGCTGTGATGGAGGCTCCTTCTTTGGAAGCTTTTAAGAAGAGGCTGGAAGGCTTTGAATGCAATGTTCCTGCTTCTTGGCAGGGGGTTGGACTGGATGGCCTGTGAGGTCTCTCCCAACTCTATGAGGGCAGGGAGGGGTGCTCACCTGCTCCGCAGAGACGGGCTCGTTGAGGCGGTGCTCGGCCGAGAGGTGGTGCCGGAGCAGCAGGGCGCGTCGGTAGCTGCGGGTGCCCTTGCACAGCTCGTCGTGGCCCCCGCTGCCGTTACTACTGCTGCCGCCGTTGTCGGTGGAAGAGGCGGCGGCGGCGCACCAGGCGCAGGAGACGAGGCCGGTCTGCTGGCAGTACTGGATCCAGGGGAACTCCTTGAGCCAGGAGGTCTGGAAGGAGACGTGCAGCTTCTGGAGGAGCGACTGGGGGCGGGAGGGGAGCGGGAAGGCCGGCAGCGCGTCGCCGGGCTCGGCTTCGGCCTCAGCCTCGTCCCCGTCGGCGCGCCCTCCTCCTCGTCCTCCTCCTCCTCCGCTGCTGCTGCAGCTTCCCCCCTCGGCGCCGCTGCCCTCGCCCAGGCTGGCGCCCTCCTCGCCGTCCTCGTCGTCGTCGCTGCTGTCGCTGAGCGAGCCCCCGTCCTGCGCCAGCTCCTTCCCGGACAGGAAGAGCTCCAGCTCCTCGTCGCGGCCGTTCAGCGGGCGCCGCGGCCAGGCCGCCCCCGCCTCGCAGCCATTGTTCGCCGCCAAGGCCGAGGAGGAGGAAGAGGCCCCTCCGCCGCGGAAGGCCAAGGTCCGGCGGTTCCTCTCGGCCAGCATGGGGGCCACCGCGGCGGGGCCCAGCAGGAGCTGCTCCTCCTTGGCCTCGCCCAGCTCGGACGCCTCCAGCTCCACCGTGGCCAGCTCCACTTCCTCCTCCTCCTCCTCCTGGCGGACCCAGGCCTCCTCCGGGTCCGGGGTGCCGTTGGCTATCGGGGCGACGGTCGAGGCGGAGGAGGCAGAGGCGTTGGCATTGGCGCTGAGCAGGCCGCCCCCCCGGAACGCCAAGGTCCTGCGGTTCATCTCGGCGAACATGGCGGGCGGGCGAGCCAGCGAGAGAGCGCGCGCGCCCCCCGCCCTGTCCCTGCCGCGCGCCCAACTGCCCCTTGCGCGCGCTCCCTCCCTCCCCCAACCTCCCTCCCCCCTCCCTCCTCTAATCGACCGCTATGACGGGTAAAGGCGGGGGAGGGAGGGGCAGAGAGAGAGAGAGGCAACACAGCTCCCTTCCTTCCTTCCAGTCAGTCAAGTCAGTCCGGAAATTAAAGAAATTGAAAGAAGCGGGCTGTAAAGTCTTATAATATCTCTATCTATATATCCCTGAGGTCGGTGTCGGTTGCCACAGCCTCCTCCTCCTTCTCCTCCTCCTCCTCCTGCCCACAATAGATCCGGCTCAGTCCTTGCTTGCTTCCTTCCTTCCGCCCCAACGCCAGGCCCCGGCCCAGGTCGAATGGCAAATGAACAACGGACTGCGCCCACAATGCACTGGGGCGGCGACGAATACGACGACGCGGGGGGAGGGAGGGAAGGGGAAAGGAGGGGGCGAGGAGGAGCCCGCCCGAACAGCTGGCGAGTGTCAGGTTTTGGCCCCCGCGCGCGCTCACGCCAGGCGCGCGCCCTCCCCCCCCTCCTCCTCCTCGGCAGGACTTTTCCTAGGCACGCTGAGAGTGGACGATACTACTACGGAGGAGGAGGGGGGGAGAGCACTCTATTTACGGAATGACCCCTGAATAGAGAAATGGGTAGTTGTCTTATTTACTCTGTTTCAGGTATGGGCCAACTTGGGCCCTCCGGGTGTTTTGGACTTCAATTCCCACAATTTCTAACAGCCGGTTGTTAGGAATTGTGGGAATTGAAGTCCAAAACACCCGGAGGGCCCAAGTTGGCCCATACCTGGTCTAGTATAAGGAAACAGAACTCTTGTCTGCTTGAGGTCATTGATGAGCATTGAATGGCCTTGCAGCTTCAAAGCCTGACTGCTTCCTGCCTGGGGGAATCCTTTGTTGGGGAAAGAACTCTTGTCTGCTTGAGGCCAGTGGGATTGTTGCCATTGGCCACCTTGATGAGCACTGAATGGCCTTGCAGCTTCAAAGCCTGGCTGCTTCCTGCCTGGATGAATCCTTTGTTGGGAAAAGAACTCTTGTCTGCCTGAGGCCAGTGTGAATGTTGCAATTGGCCACCTTGATAAGCACTGAATGGTCTTGCAGCTGGTTGCTGCAATTATTCAATGTCTTAAAATACATACCATTCCAAAAAAATTAAAATTAAATTAGATTAAAATTAAATACATATTAAACATTTAAAAACATTACATTCTATGTTGTCCTCCTCCACTTCCCCCCTTCTCCCACTGTGTGGAACTGCCCACTTCTTTGACATCGCTTGGCAGGACTTTTCCTAGGCACACTCAGAGAGGACGATACCACTACGGAGGAGGGGGGAGACGGCACTCTTTTACGGAATAACCCCCTGAATAGAGATTGGTGGTTTTCTTCCTCCTCTTCCTCCCCCACCTCCTCCCACTGAGTGGAACTGCCCACTTCTTTGACATCACTTGGCAGGACTTTTCCTGGGCACACATGCAGAGGGGACGATACCACTACCGAGACAGAGAGGAGGGGGAACCTCCTTAGGAAATGACCCTCGTCCCTGGATAAACAGCGATGGCTCTCCATTTCCCCCCCCCCCCGCCTCTGAGTGGAACCGCCCACCCCCTTTGACATGGAGGGGACATCTTGAGTGTCTCCTCGGTGTCACTCTCGAAGGACCACCGCGCCCCATTTCTCTGACAACTCACCCCCACCCCCACCCTCCTTTCATAACCTTTTCAGAATGGCCGCCGCTGGGACACCAGCCCAGCTTCCCCCTCGCGGACAATAAGGCTCCACGTTGCGAAGGAGTCACAACAAACAAACCAAACAAGCCTCTTTCCCCACTGTGTGTTGTGGCACGGCTCCACGCGCGACGGAAGAGCGTCTAATCCGCTTTCCCTCCCCGTCCCCCACCAAAGAGCGCAACCACGTGGCCCCTCCGTGTCCTTGAACAGCGGAGCTTGTGTTACTATTATATAGGCGATCCCTCCTAGCGTGATGATGGTCCTCCAGATGTGTTTTGGCAGTGGGTCCATGGGTGGCTGCGGAGCCCTATTCTTGTTCCGCATGCTCTCCCACAGTGAGGACATCAGTTTCCAGACGGAAGGTGGTCCCGGTCAGGGTTGGTTTGACATTCCTTCCTCTTGGCACGTTTCTCCTTTTCGCCCTCGTGCCTCTTAGCATTCTGCAGCACTGCTGGTCACAGCTGACCTCCAGGTAGAGTGCTCAAAGGCCAGGGCTTCCCAGTTCTCAGTGTCTACGCCACAGTTTTTAAGCTTGGTTTTGAGCCCATCTTTAAACCTCTTTTCCTTTTCTTGAGTTGGGAGTATAGTAACTGCTTTGGGAGATCTGGCATTCGGACAGTGTGGCCAGTCCAGTGGAGTTGATGGTGGAGGAGCATCGCTTCAGTGGTGGTGGTCTTTGCTTCTTCCACCTCGCTGACATGTGGACTGTTTACAGACATCGCATGCAACTCCTGAAACGATTCCATCAGCTCTGCCTCCAGAAAATCCTGCAAATCTCTTGGGAAAGCAGGTGGACAAAGCCTGTCTTCCCAAGAGATTTGCAGGATTTTCTGGAGACAGAGCTGATGGAATCCTTTCAGGAGTTGAGTGTGACGTCTGTAGACAGTCCATGTTTCACAGGCATATAGCAGGGTTGGGAGGACATAGCTTTATAAAGAAGCACTTTGGTCTCCCTACAGATGTCATGGTTCTCAAACACTCTGCTTAATTTAGAAAAATGCTGCACTCGCAGAGCTCAGGCAGTGTTGTGTTTCAGTGTCAATGTTGACTTTTGTGGAGAGGTGGCTGCCAAGGGAGCAGAAATGGTCAACATTTTCTAACGTTACACCATTAAGCTGTATTTCTGGCATTGTAGAGGGATTGACTGAGACACGGTGATCGGGCATTTGGACAACGTGGCCAGTCCAGCAGAGTTGATGGCAGAGGAGCATCGCTTCAATGCTGGTGGTCTTTGCTTCTTCCACGCTGACGTTTGTCCACCTGTCTTCCCAATAGATTTGAAGGATTTTCCGGAGGCCGCGCAGAATGGAATTGTTCCAGGAGTTGCATGTGACATCTATAGACGGTCCACGTTTCGCAGGCCTATAGCAGGGTTGGGAGGACAATAGCTTTATAAACAAGCACCTTGATCTCTCTACGGATGTCCCGACCCTCAAACACTCTCTGCTTCAGTCGGAAAAATGCTGCACTCGCAGAGCTCAGGTGGTGTTGTATTTCGGTGTCAATGTTGACTTTTGTGGACTTACTTCTTGGATAGCTACATGCAGTGTTTAACAATACAAAAACACTTCAGTAGCAGATGAAAACTTTTAGCCACTCATTTGTAGAAATGAGGGATTAAGCCATATTTGAAAGCTTGTGCAGCCCCATCCGTTGGTCTCTCAGAGCACCAAAATGTGTAGGGAAGCTTTTAAACAGAGGCTGAATGGCCATCTTTTGGGAGTGCTTTGAATGCAATTTTCCTGCTTCTTGGGGGGTGGGGGGTGGACTGGATGGCCCATGAGGTCTCTCCTAACTTTATGATTCTATGTCACGGTCCTCAAACATTGCTTTATTGGGAGAAATGCTGCACTCACAGAGCTCAGGCGGTGTTGTATTTATTATTAACCCCTTCCACGTGGGAGAAGCACACAGAGCACTTCCCTCTGCTTGTATGGCTTCATCCCAGGCATGGGCCAACTTGGGCCCTCCAGGTGTTTTGGACTTCAACTCCCACAATTCCTAACAGCAGATAGGCTGTTAGGAATTGTGGGAGTTGGAGTCCAAAACACCTGGAGGGCCCAAGTTGGCCCATGCCTGGGAAAAACAGAATGTCCCTCCATAAAATGAGTTCCACATGAAATTGTATATCGCATTGACTCCTTATTACAAGCCTGGATTTTTCTGTATGTAAACAGGCCTTGAAAGACATTCATTTCCCCTCCCCTCCCCTCCCCAAGTTGTATTTATCAGCTGTCAAAGGGCGGGTGTGTATGTATGTATGTGTGTGTTTGTGTGTGTTGCTCTCTCTTCCTGCATAAAGGCCTGCCTTTGGGCGAGGGAACTCCTGGCAGCGCGCCTCCCGCCTCCGCTCCCCAGGAAAAGTGGCGCCCCAGGTGCCTCCCTGACTGACTGCCTGCCTGCGCGGCGCTTCTTGGGAAACCGGGAATTTGAATATCAAGGCCACCCACGTGACTCAGCCTGGCGCTGCCTCTGTGTTGACAAGGCCCTTCTGACGTCACCCGCCGCCGGTCCTCCTCCTCAGCCGGGCAAGGAGAGATTTACCTCGGCCGCCAAAAGGGGGCGCGCAACTTACTATACGTACCAGGAATGGGCCAACTTGGGCCCTCCAGGTGTTTTGGACTACAACTCCCACAATTCCTAACAGCCGGTAGGCTGTTAGGAATTGTGGGAGTTGTAGTCCAAAACCCCTGGAGGGAGGGCCCAAGTTGGCCCATGCCTGGTACATATGTTAGAGTGCATGTGTTAATGTGTATATGTGTGTTTATGTGCATTTTAATGGTTATGTTAGTGTGTTAATGTGTATATATATGTCACTGGGTTTGTGTATTTTATATATATATATATATATATATATATATATGTATGTGTGTGTGTGTGTGTGTGTGTGTGTGTGTGTGTATGTATATATATATATATATATATATATATATATATATATATATATATATATAAAATAATATCATCCACCTCTTCTTTAGGGCCCCTGGATGTATAATAATAATATATATGTTTTATTATCTACCTCTCCTTTAGGGCCCCTGGGTGGCGCAGCACATTAAACTGCTGAGCTGCTTAACTTGCTGACCGAAAGGTTGGCAGTTCGAATCCGGGGAGAGGGCTGAGCTCCCGCTGATAGGCCCAGCTTCTGCCAACCTAGTGGTGCAAAAACATGCAAATGTGGGTAGATCAATAGGTACTGCTTCTGCAGGAAGTTTGGCAGTACAAATCCGGGGAGTGGGGTGAGCTCCTGCTGTTAGTCCCA